AGAATTTACAATAAGTAATCAACTTTAACCTTAATTATCTCAAAACAGTGTCAGACCTGCTTAGATCCTTTGGATTCTAACCCTTTCATATGTAATATATTAAAAAAAAAATAATATGAAAAAAAAACTTTTTAATATACAACGCTTTTATAAATGGACTAAAAAGTAGAAAATAATATTTCTCAGTACCATAGAATTTGTTTTGATAACTTTTGATTTTGAAATTTTAGCAAAAGTCGTTATAACCAATTTATGAGATTGAAAATGAAAAGCGTGGGGCGCATGCAATACAAAGCATTATATTTAATTGACAATAGTCAAACTACATAACATAGACCTAAAATTTCTACAGAGAAAGTACGAGTTTGACATCGATTTTAAACGGTCGTTATTCATATATCCACATTTATACATATATTACCCTTCATATAAATTCAGGTCTATTACATACGCCCACGCTTTTCATTTTCAATCTCATAAATTGGTTATAACGACTTTTGCTAAAATTTCAAAATCAAAAGTTATCAAAACAAATTCTATGGGACTGAGAAATATTATTTTCTACTTTTTAGTCCATTTATAAAAGCGTTGTATATTAAAAAGTTTTTTTTTTTATATTATTTATTTTCTACTTTTTTTGTCTTGTCTGTATAAAATTTTGCGATAGATATTAAAATAATTCAACGATATTAGCACCAATTAATTTTATTTAAAGAAATGGCGTGTCGTCTATTTCCGCTGTAGCGAACGTAGTACATAGGGCGACATCTAGATGTCATCTACCTCGTCCTATGCACTACAGATGTCGCCCTATGCACTAGACTTTTTTACAGGAACTTTGCAAAGCAAAGGTTTTATGGTGTCGGACACACAACATTGAAAGTTTCTGGATCCACAACATTGAAAGTTTCTGGAGCCACAACATTGCAAGTTGATAAAAGCGTTGTAATAAAAAGGAAACCTATTTGTCCTACGCTTGTTCACGAATGCAGAACTATCACTCACGCACATTAACCTTTTTGTCAACAGCAGAAAAATTATACGTACGTCAACTGCAGTATACCCGGGTATGCCCATTAGGGTGGTCCAAAAATTTATGTAAAAAAAAGTAAAGTCGGAATTTGTATGCTCTCATCCCCTAAGATTGTTCTATACCGAAAAAATATACACCTCTTTTTTTATTTTGAAATCAGTTGTAGGTCGCTCAAAGCGCTCAAAGTTTTTCATGTATTTTATATTGATAAAAATCAACTTTTCGTAGAATTGGTAAAGAATTCTTGAAAATCAATATTTTTCGACCGGAAACCCCTGTTTCTTTTCAGGAGATTCCCAGTAATAATACCTAATTACTTTTTTAACCAATTTTTCATAGTAACTATATTTTATATGTCCGCCAAACCCCTACAAAATGCCATTTAGCATTGAAAAATGGTTAAATAAACAATTGGATATTGTTATTGGAAGTCTCCTGAAGAGAACCAGAGTTTTCCGATCGAAAAATATTGATTTTCAAGAATTCCATACTATTTCCACGAAAAGTTGGTTTTCCCCATACATGGAAAACTTTGAGCGACCTCTAAATATTTTTTGAATTAAAAAAAATAGGGGTGTGCTTTTTTTCGATATATAACAATTCTAGGGGGTGAGAGCATTAAAATTCCGACTTTACTTATTTTTAACCACCCTAATGCACATACATTTTATATGGGAAATGACATTGTGTTGTTAAATTTGTTTTTAATCTGGCTAAGTCTGTATTGTTATTTTCTAAAAAAATAAATTTATTTTAAGTATGTAAAACAAAATTTGAGAAATATGTTATTTTACTGTATAAATAATAAGTTTCTTAGACCACACTTTATGATCGTGGGGTTTGAATATATATGTACGCCATACCAGGTGAAACCGGGGAAGCTATTCTGACAAAGATGGAACAACTTGGTATGCTGTACCACCACAAGCTGCTAGTTTCAAACCCACAACATACTGAGGTCTGCAAAGAATGGACCAGCTCGTGCGGAAGAAAGATATATGTATCAGTATTAACCCTGAACGGGTAATATTTCTCGATTTAACGGACACAGTTGTTCTTTTTTCAAAAAAAAAAAAAACAAAGGGGCAGTGGTAAGCAGTGCGCGCTTCTACTCCGCGGGGCCTGGGTTTAAACCTTGGTCAAAGAAACATCACAAAAAAATTGAGAAAAAAGGTATTTTTCCTAACAGCGCACAGTGGCCAATTTTTCGAAAAAGCTGGCCAAAAGACGGAGCGTAGTACAATTGTAATCAAACCTTGTGTATTCGTCTTTAAGGGCTAACTATAATATGCATAAGCTGCCGTAACTGACTGTCAGAAAATGGACGAAAAGTCTGTCAAATACATAAGCAACGTAGTGTAGACTTTTAGGTGGCTATATTTTACTTACATGAGTTCAGTGTTGCCACATTTAATTAGATATAACAGTAGCCACTATCAAGCAGTTTGTTGTAGATCACACAATTATAGTAACCTAGAAACGCCGAAGAACTGTTCGCGTTGCGAAAATTTCAGGATAATCTGGTGTTTCTGTAAAAGGAAACGCTTACGGCCCACTTCCTAATATGAACGCTTAAAATAATCAGATTAGCAAAACTAAGGTAGATAAGTGTCGGCCGCTGTGGTGTAGTGGTAAGCAGTGCGCGCTTTCACTCATCAGCACCTGGGTTCAAGCCCTGGTCAAAGAAACCTCGGAAAAAAATATAGAAAAACCGATTTTTCTTAACAGCGGTCGCCCCTCGGCAGGCAATGTCACCCCTCCGAGTGTATTTCTGCCATGAAAAACAGCTTCTCATAAAAATACAATCGCCGTTCGGAGTCGGCGTAAAACTGTAGGTCCCTCCCCTTTGTGTACCCACATCAAGACGCACGCCAAAAATCGGAGGAGAAGCTCGGCCAAACACTAACATATGTGTAAGTGCCAATCTATTACTATTATTATTATTAATTGTTACATATATAATACAAACGACGCCTAATAAAAAAAAGCCAGCATGTTGTGCAAAAAACTCGTTTGTGCTAATCATTTTACTAATTTTCCGCAATGCAATAGATGTAACTAAAAAGTTTAAAATTTCGAATTTTTCATATTTTTTATTTTACATATATCATTCTATCTCTATCTAATATATAAAAATCTCGTGTCGTGTCCTCCGAAAAGGCTCGACCGATCTTTATGAAATATTTTGGGTATATCTGGTATGTATGAGACGCGGATTTAAAGTATATTTCATACAAACTAAATTATTCATACTGCATATCTCTGGAAGCGTTCATGGTAGAGGACTGGAACTTGGTATGGAGATATATAAAATCAAGTGCATAGTCATGAAGAAAAATTTGCGGTGATTGGAAAAAGGCGCGTGGCGCCTCCCATACAAACCGAATTTTTTTTACTGCATATCTCTGGAAGTGTTCATGGTAGAGTACTGGAACTTGGTATGGAGACATATGAAATCAATACATTACTCTTTGAGAAAAGGGGGCGTGGCGCCTTTCAATCGTACTGAACTATTACGTATCTTTGTGTGTATATATAATTTTTCTGTACGTGTGTTTGTGAGTGAACCCATTTTAAAGAAATTCTTTGTGTTTGAGTTGGTCTTTGGATAGTTAGATTCACAGTTTCGCTGGATTCGAGTTATTACTAAAAATCTTACTTATGATCCGATATTGCTTATGTTTGGAATATGTATTGGTATAGTAAAGGGAAATATTTCTGCGAAAAAATTTGCCTACCAAGTTCGGAAGTCGAGTTATTACTAAAAATCCTATTTATCCTCCAATTTGACTCATATTCGAGATATGTATTGGTAAGGGCAATACTATTGCAAAAAAGAGCCGCCGGGTAGCGCTGAAGTCGAATTATTACGAAAAATCGTCAAGTGAGAAAAAGTACCATGAATGTCCGATTACATCGACGTGCTGTACCGCCAATTATGTCGAGCTCCCGTGTGTTCCGATTGGCCCAATGGACGTGAATTGCCAATATTACTGTGTGTTAAAGGTCCATTCGGATACACCAGGATTAAGTTGTACAGGGGTTAATCTCAAATGACCACCGCTAAATTAACCATCAGAAATATTGTGCTTCTAAATAAGACATTTGAGGCATTTCTGAAATAAAGCTATGTATGTATATTGGATTTTTGTAGAACAGCAATGCTCTGGCTGAGATAACTATATATGGGTACAGTTTCACGGACAGATTCACCATTGAACCGGATCATTGTTTCCGCCAGGGAGTGAAGAGGAAAAAGTTTTTCAAATTTATTTCGTTGTGCAATTAACCGTGCTCTGAAACGACAGATCATTGGATAATTTCAAGAACTTCGTCACGGACATACACTTTTGCTAGGTTATTTAAGACGGCAACGGAAATATGCCTTCTTACAACCATGAAACCGTAATATTAGCAGATAAACGCATCACTGGAAATCGTGACCGTGAATTGTTGGTGAAAATGCTGGACCAAAATGTTTCAATAAAAAAATAATAATTTTGGGCAGGTCGAAGTTCGCGGGGTCTGCTAACAATATTATATTAGCCGTCATCGATTCGCCAACAGTTAGCCAGCGGCGAAACGAACGAACTCAATGAGATACAACTAATCTCGCTATCGTCTATCCGTGCTAGCTATCTTTGTTGTTGCTTTCAGATGCAAAATTTTAGGAATTTGATTCGGAATAAAGTATACTTTTCAAATGTATCAACATATTTGCATGCGTTTTCACATACATACCCGGGTATGCAGCTGTTGATGTAAGGGGTAGAAGTCGAAAAATGGTCAGATCTCTAGTCCAGGTGGTCCAATCCCACTCAGACTTTTGTTGAGGATATCATGAAATTTCAAGTTAATCCTATGTATAGTTTCCAAGATAAGCAATTTGAAAACGCAAAACATACCCGGGTATGTTGCTGTTGACATAAAGGTTAACGACGATTTCGTGATTTTTTCTTAAATCCGTTCACACCCACGCATAAATACTCGTGACACATTCTGTCACATAAAAATCACGTACCTTTCCCATCTCTAATTTAAACACACGGCGCTTCTTCTGCTTAATTGTTGAAATTAAAGGTATAAAAAACATGTGCTGTTTACTTTTATCGTTAACTATAAATAGGAAGGATTAATAATGGGGAAGTAAATAGCTGCAAAATCCTAAAGTACATACATACCGTATTGCCAATCATAAGCGTAATTAAAGTAGGCACCCATGGAATGTGCATCGATGGCGGCGATTAACAGCAAATACAATCCCAAGCACAAATCTGCAAAGGCCAAATGGCCCATTAGGAAACGCGGCACGGATGGGCTTTCGGATCTGCAAAACGTTGTATACATATATGTACATATATATATATATATATATATATATATTACGTAAAAATTTAGTTTTTCCACTACAGTACAAATATGTGAGAGTGTAAAACGCGCAGTAGTAAAAGGTAATGAATAGTAGGTAATAGAGCTGCAAAACTAGCAATGGCATTCTTAGTTTGTTTTTGTTTAATTGATTTCTCATTCCTTTACTCAAGAGTCTAGCTAGTTTTTGCTACTCTTGTGAAGAAAGGTTTTCAAATCATAGACGAATTTTAAAAACTACGGAAAATGTTGCACGCTTAAAAACTATTTAATTCGCTTGGGTAAAGTCATTGGCCTTGAAAATGTTCTACGTAAGGGAAACATTGATCCTTATCCTTTATTAATAATAATAATAATTATTTAATCATTCTTAATTTCTCTTAGGATAACTTATCTAACTCAGGCTGTCCACAAACAGGCAACAAATCGATACGATCAGTTTAAATTTCAACAAATTGACATGTGTGTGGCGTTGTTTGCAAAAATATTGAATGTTGAGAAAAAAAATTGCAATCGGTTGAGTGCAGGAATGATAGAACACAAGATTGCCTCTGAGTTACGTTAAGTTGCCATAATTACACTTTTTTCACCAATACTACTTCCAAGATATGCGACACACAATTAGGGCATTCCCTTAAACTCGAAAAGTCTTAAACTGTGTAAAACTCGTAAGTTAACGAGACCTTTATGGGACGCCCCCTTTGTGAAAATGTGTAAATAGGTGCGAAAAGTGACTGTTTGATAGACAACAAGGATTTTGTGAAACAATTCTTGTTTGGAGGTATTTTCCATAACAGGCCGCCATCTTGTGAATCAAAAACTCCGAAAACTAGCAGAAAACTCAAGTTTCTACAGTTAGTGCATGCAATTCATTCTATTTGTTCGCATATTATTTTTATTCAATTGCTTTCAATATTATAAATATAATACGTTTTTGTATAAAATTGTCCGCCCCTCGGTAACACTGAAGTTTACGAGGTCGTTTGCGCATCAAATTTGCCTCGTAATTTAACGAGGGACTAGTAAATACAGCTCTAAACCAATTTTAACAGTTCTTTTACGAGGCTCGTAAATTTACGAGTTTTAAGAGCTTTACAAGGCTTTTACGAGTTTAAGGGAAGACCACTAATGCTACTTGCTATGGACATCTCACTTGTTCTTGTCATTGCAGAGGTATTGACTAAGTACTTCTTTTGAGACCAACGATTCTCTACTACTTTTTCGTGATTCTTGTTAAACTTTTTTATACCTTTGGGGTGTTCGGGCGGAATGGATCCATATTAATTGAAACACATATGTACATACATACTTTTATCGAGCCATATTTTGCGTTTATATCGTAAGCGACAACTTATATTTTTTTTGTTAATAGGATACAAATATCTACTAGTTACAACGTCCCAAACAAAATCACAAAAGTTTGAATATGTACCGTTACGGACAAGAAACAAAATGCATTTTATCGTTTCATTAGGTTTGTTCCACACGAGCCCGCGGGTGCCGCAAACAGCCCACAAAGCGTTCCTCACGCTAGAAAAATAGGTTATAGAGAGCGAATACCTTCCACTTTTGGATCGCAAATGTCTTCTTCTTCGTGCCCGTAATGGGGCTCATATACCTATTGCAGGGTTACCACTGTAAAACTTTTTTCCTACCAAGAGCTGGTTCCAAAACCTACCAAATGGCTTCTTTGCTACCATATGGCGGTTGACAGCATTGAGTACAGTTATTTTTGCTAGTTTTTATACTTAAAAGACGATTTTCAGGTAAAAAAAAAGATCAGAATAACTGCTTTTATATACAAATAGAACACCAAAAAAAATTGGTGTATGCTTTTAACCAGACCCACCCACCGAATTCGACCCGGTGAATTCGAATCTGTTTCGACTTCTTAATTTCGAGCAAATTGCGAAAAACCAGAAACCGTGTCTAGGAGCCTCTGGGCTTGGGGCAAAATCTGCGCGCTGCGGGCTTGCCACTAATTTCTTCGAGTTGGTGTTAAAAACTTTGAGATTCTTTGATTTACTGAACTAACGGTAAGTTGATTTCTTCTTAATTTTCGTGTATGATAAAAACAATGGCGTATTCTGTGAACATGTAGATTTGTTATGTACAATGCATTTGAATCGCTCTTCTAGTGTCATTAAAAATAGTTTACAATATTGTCATTGTTTAAACTATTGTCGATTCGCACCTGCATTTTAAAGAAAAATATCTGATTTATAAACCTGCATTTACATCCATTAATTCAATCACTTGATATCCCATTACATACGCAGTCGATACAACTTTTTATAGCGCATACGGAATACAGAGAATTGCTGAAGGTAATTGGTAAAATTCTGCCTATACCAGTAAGCAAAGAGTTTTTAAAAGGTATTTGATATAATGGCAAACAATTGGGCCCCACCTACATACTCATGTGTAGTTACAAATTAAAAAATATTTGCTTTTAAAAACTTTAATTAAGCTTTTGCTTTAAGCATTCAACTAACGCCTGTAGAAATAAACTTATTGCAAATTAGATCATATTTCAACTATTAAAAGCAATGTTTATTCACATTCAAAATAAGAAGAGGTCATAAAAACAAAGCAATCTGATTTTTGTTTACTTTTCGTTGCCTTAAAAATATTTGGAAATACGGGTATAATCGATACTTTTTTTCAAATATGAGTACTGACATTTATTCTTCTTTGTAGTATCTACATATGTATTCTAAATGAGTGCTGGTATCGATACTTTTCCAAAAAGTTCTATCACCAAAAATGGAGTGCCAGTCACGGTTGCCACACTACAAAAAATTTTCTGACCAGAATTTACAAACAAAGTTACCTCAAAGTTACCAAGTAAAAAACAATGTTTTATTATACAATAAACTGTAAAAAGAAAACTCGTGTAATTGCCTTAAATAAGATATGGGTACAATAAATAGTTTTATTAAAAGAAAACTAAACAAATTCATATTACATATGAGGCCAGGAAGGCCAGGGGAGCCTATCTACAAAAATTTTTTTTAGTAATATGAGATAGAAGGATATATAACAAATAAATGCGGTCTTTTACTAAAAAGTTCATTGCACCTGCGTGGTGCTACCTATTATAGTAAAAGAAAACTGAAAGGGCTATTACCGTTTCGATTCTGATAATGCATTTTACGGTGCACCTCAACTTTTTTTGAAATGTCAGTTAAGCTACTGTGGCGCTCAAGGCCTCATACAATACATTTACACGGATTCGTTCCAAAATAAAAACATTTACATAAGTATATAAATACATTTTTATTCGATCTGCGTAAATGTACAAATAAAGAATATAACAAAAATTTGTGAAACAAAAAAAACATAACTATTTTTCAACCAACGCGTTTTAAAATACGCTTTTCATAAAAACGCGCCTTAAGCTCTTGTGTTTTGAACGGGATCTTAGCCTCAGAACAAAAAAGAATTATTTAAAAAATCAATTTAAGTGCATTACCGAAGCACTAAAGAGCCCAAATCCCCCGCACAAACTGCTGTTCAAACCTCCTTTTTTCATTTCTTCTATATACATACATATATGGACGAAAGATCTGTCAATAAGTTTTGGACGTGTGCATGGGCGTAGGCAGAACGAAATTTAGGAGAGGACCTCCTATACAATTTTTTTTTTTTCAAAACCAATAACTATTACTTACTAAAAAATTTTTTATTACAGCTTAAAATATTGTAACCAATAGAGGTATATTGTAAGCCAGTGGCATAAAATGTTTATCAAAACCAATAAGAATAATGTTATCTGATCACACAAAAATTATCATACTCAATTGAGTTGCCTATTTACCTACATATATGTACCCTACAGAAAATCTGACTAGCCTAAAACTAGGCCTTTTGCCGACAGTACCAGTTCTCAATACCCAAGCAATGCTTTCAACTGTCCAGTTTTACACGGCGATGCCATTGGCGGTGGCAATTGTCGCCCAGTGCATTACTTTGCAACCAGTTTATAACCGGTTCCATTTTGGACAGTTTTTGTTATAAGAAAACGTTTTTGAGATTCGATTTTTGGACATTTTTTTCGTTTTTTCTTTTCTTTTACAGATTCCGTTTTTATTCCTTTTATGAGCATGAAATGGTATTATAACTTTGGTCCGATGTTTGTAAGTACCAGAATAAGAAGAGATAGACCCATAAAAATGTATACTTAAATGATCAGAACGTCGAGCTGAGTCGATTTAGCCATGTCCGTCTGTTTGTATGCAATCAAGTCTCTCAGTTTTCGAGATATCCGGATAAAATATGGTAGGTGGATATATTTTTATAATGTATTAATCATTTGTCGGAACCGGAAGAATCAGACCACTATAACATATAGCTCCCTTACAACTGATTGTTCAGATATGAGATTTTTCGTTATAACTTCTTCATTTATGCAGCTAGGAACATGAAATTCCGCACTGTTTTCAATAATTATCAACAGAAAACTTACAGTGAAAATAACAAAGATCGGGGCACTATAACCTGCAGCCCCCATACAACTGATTGTTCAGATATGAGGTCTTTTATCATAACTCTCTTCCATTTATGCAGCTAGGAACATGAAATTTCGCACCATTTTCACTCATTATTAACAGAATACTTACAGTTAAAATAACAAGGATCGGGTGACTATAACATATATGTATCTTCCATACATCTAATTGTTCAGATATGGGATTTTACTGTAAAACTCCGTTATTTGAACAGCTAAAACCGATAAATCTCATAAGATATTTTATAAATAATAATACAAAGTCTACTGAGAAGATCGTCAAAATCTATGCTGTATAAGCTTTAACTCCTATACCACTGATTGTTCAGATACCAGTTTTTGCGATATATCTCCTTTATGTAGGAAACTAAATCCAATAAATTGTGTTACCGGTTTACATACCGATAACATACCAGTGAAAATCACTTAGATTGGTGCTAATATAAGGT